TGAAAAAAAAAAAACAGAAGAAAAAAAGATAAGCATATAGGTTCTATTATTCAAAGGTATCAAGTGTCCTACCAATAATTCCCTTTATAATTTTTATTAATCAAAGATATATATCCATCAACATGAATTTCTAATCTGTCTGACAAATGGCAAAGGCACTGAATTGTTTTTTTACCCACAAGCAAAGAATTATGTGAGTTCATGATGAGACTGGTTTCCATCAGGTGATGGTGGCTTTATGGAAGTCTAGGACTCTGATCACAGGGCCATCATCCAGTCTGCATATTCTACAGTGAGGAAGCCAAGACCTAGGCGGTTATTTGACTTGGAATCCTCTTTGTATATCCTGCTTGTCTCTGGGAAAGCTGTTCAATCTCCCTGAGGCTGAATTTCTCTCCCAAAAAACACCCCCATGAAACCAGGGGGTTGTGGATCACTACTTTATGAGTGTGTTAAGAGTTACATTACACAGTGTGTGAAACCAGTAGGGACACAATGTTAATTTCTTTTCCCATCTTCTGGGATCACAAAAATGGTGGTACAGATAAGATTTAAACTCAGTCTCTGGCTCCCTGTGTAGAGGTCTTTCCATTGGAAATTATTTCTTCAATAATCTATTTTGGCCTGATTTTCCCCCAAAAAACAAAATATTAAAAAAATAGATTAGCTGCTTAACTGATGGAATGCTCCAGCTTCTTCCCTGTTTGTTTTCATCCTTGGTTAACTCTTCTAATCAGTTAATTCCAAAAACAAAGACATATAAAACCCAGGAGCTTCATTTGAAAACACTAAGAGCTGTTTATCCCATTAAATTTGTTAATTATGGGGGCACCTGGGTGGCTCAGTTGGTTGAGTGTCTGACTTCGGCTCAGGTCATGATCTCACGGTTTGTAATTTCTAGCCCCACGTTGGGATCTGTGCTGACAGCTCAGAGCCTGGAGCCTGTTTCTGATTCTGTCTCACTCTCTCTGTCCCTCCCCCACTTGCACTCTGTCTCTCAAAAAATAAACATTTAGAAAAATAAATTGTTAATTATGTTTTAGCAGACAGGCACTTTTTTTTTCTAAGCAAAATTAAGTAATTTTACCTCAAATGGAATAATCTCCCAATGCCCATCTACCCATCTTTATTAATTTTGTTTAGAAAGAAATCCACAACAGGGGCACCTGAGTGACTCAGTCGATTAAGCATCCGACTTCGGCTCTGGTCATGATCTCGCGGTTTGTGAGTTCAAGCCCCACATCAGGCTCTGCACTGACAGCTCTGAGCTTGGAATCTGCTTCAGATTCTGTGTGTCCGTCTCTCTGCTCCTCCCCGCCTTGTGCACAAGTGCTTGCGCTCTCCCTTTCTCAAAAATAAGTAAAAACTTAAAAAAATATTTTAAAAAGAAAGAAATCCATAACAAATTTTAGCAGGCTTCCAACAAATATTTTCACTATTTTTATTTTCTACAAGCAATTCTAGGATCCCCACTCCCCCCCGCCCCGCCCTGCAAAAACCTACCTAACAGCAAATGAATGATTCCAGTCACAAGCTGAATGCAAAATCTTTGATGTACTCCAAGAAAATATTTTTATGTGACATTTTTGTAGCTAGGGTGAAATCCTTTGTGTTTTTGCAAATCCCCAGTGTTGGCAGACAGGCAAATAACAATTATCTGAAATGAAAGCTTGAAAACAGTAGCAGTTGATCATTGTCATGCTTGGTTGGTTTTACAGCAAATGAGCCTACCAGGTTTGTGGATATTGTTGATCCTTCTCTAGTCTCTAGTCACAGACAGAAGGGACTTTGGAGATTACCTAGGGCCAAATGAACTCCAAGGTATCTGCCAGTTCTAACAAAATTTGCATTACAATCTGGGAATGGAGACTGGGAAAGATAAACTACATCTGTTCTTTTGATGTGGATTTGCTGGTATGTTGCTATCCAAAATTGTCACTGTTTTCCAAACAGGAAGCGCTTTTCAGGAACCGAGAATTCAGAGATTTGCCATTTCTACAAAAACTCTCATACCTATCCTGGTGTTACATCTATATGTGCTTTTTTAGAGAGTCATTTGATTATTTGGAATGTTTCATGTTGGCCTTGTTCCGTCTGACTGGGTGATTTCATTAGAAACCTTTGTGTCTGAGAATAATGGTCTGTCTATGCTTTGTGGTTTTTCATTAGAATATTTCAGTAACTCAGATCAGAGGTGCACATTCTAGAGTTAGAGAAATAATAACTGCAAAGTAATTACCCTTCTTTAGGAATAATGATTTTAAAATTATTGTCCTTTTAATCTTTGTATATGGTGAGAAAAGGAAACATCTGCCTTTGGGTTTTGGCATGTTTATACTACCAGTAGGTGTTTACATTTAATAGTTTGTTCAGGTTCAAAATTATTTTATTTTTTTTTTAAGTTTATTTATTTTTGAGAGAGAGAGCGATTACAAGCAGGGGAGGGGCAGAGAGGGGGACGGGTCAGAGGATTCAAAGTGGGCTCTGTGCTGACAGAAGATAGCCCGATGCTGGGCTCAAACTCAAGAACCGCAAGATAATGACCTGAGCCAAAGTCCGACGCCCAACCGACTGAGCTTCTCAGGCACCCTGTTCAGGTTCAAAGCTAATACTTAAATGTTTTCCCAAAGCTAATACATACTCCTCTTTTCCCAAAATCTTTTTGTTCTTTCCGTATTATACTTGAGTACCTTTTCATAGAAATAGTAAATACCCAAGAAACAAATCACTGGAGTTGACAGAAGAGAGAAGAATTGCTCCTTAATGAGAGAAGAATTCTATATTGTCTCAAGTGGTTGCACACCTGCCTCTCATCCTCTATAAGGGCCGTCACCTCCATAGCTGCCAGAGTCCTGCACCTCCAAGGTAGTACAATCAGCCCAGAACTCCTTCCCTCAATACTTAACTAAGAGGGCCACCATTTTTCCTCTCCTAAGGCACAAAATATTTGGGTTGTCACTGATTTTTCCTCACACATTTGTCACCTGGACTTGCCTGATCCTCCTCTCCTAATCCCAGATGCACCTTGTTTCTCACCACTGATCCAAATCCTAGCTTTGCTCATTCCAGTTAATTCAACATGGTTCTCTCTGAATTTTCTTGGCACTTGTATGTAGTCTAAATATGCTGCTTTGAAATTATTTCTGGTTTTATACGTATCTTCATTAGATTCAAAGTTCTCAAGGCAGGGGTGCCCAGGTGGCTCAGGTGGTTAAGCATCTGACTCTTGGTTTCAGCTCAGGTCATGATTTCACAGTTTGTAAGTTTGAGCCTGGAGTTGGGGTTTGCACTGACAATGCAGAGCCTGCTTGGGATTCACTCTCTCCTCTCCTTTTGTCCCTTTCCTGCTCTCTCTCTCCTCTCTCTCTCGTTCTCTCAAAATAAATAAACTTTTAAAAATGATTGAAATTTCTCAAAGCAAAGATCAAGACCTCAATATTTTCTCATGTATAACCCCCATTGAATCCTTACCTTCAACAAACCACTTAGGCCCCCTTTCCCTCACTTCCAGGTGGGGATGATAAGAATAGCTGCTTTAGCCTGTTCTCAAGAGTATTATGAAGATCAAATAAATGTAAAGAGCCTTTATAAATGTTGAGGGGCTATATACTTAGCAGTAAAGTTATACCAGTTCATACATTTTAAAAACTATGGTGGGGCGCCTGGGTGGCGCAGTCGGTTAGGCGTCCGACTTCAGCCAGGTCACGATCTCGCGGTCCGTGAGTTCGAGCCCCGCGTCGGGCTCTGGGCTGATGGCTCAGAGCCTGGAGCCTGTTTCCGATTCTGTGTCTCCCTCTCTCTCTGCCCCTCCCCCGTTCATGCTCTGTCTCTCTCTGTCCCAAAAATAAATAAACGTTGAAAAAAAAAATTTGTTTTTAAAAATAAAAAAAATAAATAAAAACTATGGCAAAAAAAAAAATACTTAATTTCTGTATAGCCACAGAAGTCTACTTGTTGCTTTCTATAAAGTGGCTCAAGCTTTATGCTTAAGGTCTTTCACATGATAAATTATTCAGTGAAAATTGAAAAGCTTAGTTATTTGGCTATATGGGAAGATAACTCATATTTAGGAAGCTTTTGAGTAAGATTTCTACAGTGAAGATATATAACATTTCAAGTTAGAAACACATGATATCCAAATACATACATACACACACATGCACGCACACCAAAAAAACATCTGGAAGATACATCCATGTGTTAACAGGAGGCTGTAGATACTTCATTTTTCCTCTTTATACTTTTCTTTATTTCTAAACTCCTCTACAATGAACCTATACTGCTTTTGTAATTTGACCAAAAGTTAAAGACATGATGATTCACTCACTTTATTCCAACTCTGAGAACATTGAGCTTTTGTGTTTAATCACCGTTAAACAATTAGCAAAGTTTGGAAATTTTGGAGCTTGGAAAGTTTTAATAACACTGCTAAAAGTGTTTATTATGCTGCTAGTAGTTGGCTAAAAGGTTTTGCGATTCCATTGGTTGCCACAGAACAAGTTAAATTACGTGTGCCTAGTTCAGCTATAGCAAATTATATGAAACGTACTCAAATGTAAGCAAATACCAATGATGTGATGCATCAGGATGAATACGTTATATTTGGATCTATGTATTTTAATCACTTTCCAGTTTTGGACACTCTGTGGAAATGCCTTGACTGCAAAAAGAGGGATATTTGGCAAAACAGGGGATCTTCAGACCATCCTTTGCCTTGCATGTGCCAAAGATGACATCACCTATTCTGGTGCTTTAAATGGCGACATCTATGTCTGGAAAGGGCTCAATTTAGTCCGCACCATTCAAGGAGCACACAGTGTGAGTATGTCCATGTGGAAATTTGGTGATTATTAAATAAGTTGATATCACAAATAAGTGTGTTTTCCTGTTGTATTAAAATCAGCAGAACTCTGCTGAAAACTACCTAAACATTCATCAAAGATTTCCCCAATTATAGCTATTCTTGTTCACCTTAAAAATAGTTCAAAAGCTCAATAATTTAATTAACCTTCACCTCAATCATTGATTGGTTGATTAGTGTTATTCATCCACATCTAGAAGAACAGGACTGTTTCATCATCAGTTTTATCTTATAGATCAGTACTTCTCAAATTTTAATGTACCTGTGAATTTCCTGGGGATCTTGTTAAAAATGCACATTCCGATTCAGTAAGTCTGAGATGATGCCTTTGCTGCTGGCCTGTGGCCCATATGTAGACAACTCTTGTTTTTACATTTGTTAGTAAGGGTAGACTTTCTGCACTCTGAGTAAGTAACCTCTAAATCCAAATCACAAGTTCTTAAAATGCAAACAGAAACCATTGACACACTTCTTTTTTGATGATCTGCTCTGTAAGAACATGGGCAAACTTTACTTCTGACCATTCTGCTCTCTTTTGACACCTATGATAATGGTTACACTGCTGTATCTATAGATGATAAAATGGAAATGCCCAGAAGAATGGGGAGATGTGAAAGCTAAAGCCTATTATAGTAAATGGAAATTTGGTAAACAATTTTTAGAAACTCACCAGACCTGTAGCTTAGGTCCTGACTCCAAATTGGTCCCCATTACTCTTAAATAAAGAAAAGTTTAAGCACGTCTTAGCAAAAGAGCTGTAAAATTTTAGATCTTTCATTGGCTTGTATGTTGAACCAATTTTCTTGGCTTCACTAATTATGAAACCGATCTTGAAACCATTCAGAGGTCAGCATTTGTCCCATGCATAAAAGCAGCTGCCTTAGTAACCTCATTTCTCTTCACACTAGATCTTAGGTCAACAGTATATTGTTACAGCACTTCTCAATAGACCAGGTAAAATATTTTCCTGTGGAGAAGCATCTTTAAGTTACGGGACTATTTCAGGTGTGGGGAAAAAAAAGCATCTTCATATAATGCTTAACAAATTAACACAAATGTAATTTGTTTTCAATTAGGCTCAGGTGTTGCCTTCTTGAACTCATTGAGATGCATTTCAGGCACCTGTGTACCAGTAAAAGTGTTTCTGTTCCTAGCTCAAATATCTTTGCCTGATTATTTTGAGAAGTGATTTATATGAAACACCTCTATTGTTGTCTTTTCTCTATAAGGATCAGTTGTCACCTAAAGGAGTTTGATCTTCATATCTACTTTAACCAAGGAATTAGTGAATAATATTTTTTTCAAATTGCCATCAGTTTAGTAATGGTAAAGGAGCATTTGAACTGATTTGCTTTGGTGGTAGTCATGATTAATTTTTACTTTAGCCAAAATGAAGGATATTATAAATGGCTACTTGTTCTATTGTCAGGATTGCAATAGAGAACAAGGTTTTTTGTTTGTTTTTTTACATTTATTTATTTTTGATAGAGTGAGACAAAGTGAGAGCGAGGGAGGGGCAGAGAGAGAGGGAGACACAGGATCGGAAGCAGGCTCCAGGCTCTGAGCTGTCAGCACAGAGCCCGACGCAGGGCTCGAACCCACAGACTGTGAGATCATGACCTGAGCTGAAGTTGGACGCTCAACTGACTGAACCATCCAGGTGCCCCGAGAACAAGGGTTTTTAAAAACATTTTTGTTTTTGCTTTTTTTTTAATCATGAAGCTCCAACTATAATGACTATTTAGAATCCTTCAAGTATTGAGTATAATCTGCCTTACTCAACAGGCTGGAATCTTTAGCATGTATGCTTGTGAAGAAGGCTTTGCCACTGGTGGACGAGATGGGTGTATTCGATTATGGGATACTGATTTCAAACCAATAACCAAAATTGATCTCAGGGAGACAGAACAAGGATATAAAGGTAATGCATGTGGTAATAATTACCCATAACTCTAAAAGTGTTAAATAACAATGTGAAGTTCTGTATTTGTATTTGTTTCTGTATCCATCTTATTCCGGAAAGGATTTAAGGCAGTTTACATAAATGGATTGCATACACGATCAAAAGTGTGTTAAAAACAAATGGATACCCCTTCTTTCTCATTTGCATGAAGGTATTTGTGTGTACTAGCAATGGTCCTGCTACAAAGATCAATAACATAATGAGAAAACCACTGAGTGGTATCTTGGGAAATGAGACTTTGAATTATAAAACTGGGAAATTCTGGACAAGTTGGTGACCCTAAATGAGACTGCACCCAGCCTCTGAAAATAAGTAAATAAATAATTGCTAGGTAAAACAAGACCAAAAAATTAGCTTTAAAGTAGTAGCTATCATAGTAGTAGAAGTTAACTTGGGATCAGGGCTGGGGACATGGATTCAAATTCAAGTTTTGCCTATGATAGATTTGAGTCAAATGTTTAAAGATCTCTGGGTCTCAGTTTCCTCCTCTCTAAGATGAGGATAATACTAGCAACAGCCACGTAGAGTTGTGTGAGGATTAAAAACATGTACAGAGTGCTTAGACTAAGTCATGGTATAATCAGCCCTCAATAAATATTAGCTATTATTACAATATACTGAGTATGTGTACCAGGCAATACAAAACAGTTTATATACATTTAAATTTTCATCATAGGTACCAGGCAATACAAAGCAGTTTATATACATCTATTTAAATTCTCATCATATTATAATCTCATCCTTACAGACAAAGAATTGGGGTTTGAGAGAATTTAAAGTGGAAATGTAAACAGAAAAGATAAGATGAAGTCCTAGGCGATGTTGGTACACTAAGTATGTGGAGGGGGGGCTCTACTATTTGCTGCAGAGGGGCCCCAGACGCTGCTCTTGGCTCCTCCAGCCATTGCTGAGGGAGGGGGTGCTCAGTACCGTGACTTATGCTGTCCACAAGATGCAAACTGACTCACTGCTCAGGTGAAGGTGAATTTCTCCCAGTGCTGAAATGAGAGAGAAATTTCCCAAGGATCTTCCTAGAGACTGTTCTGTGACAGGAGACCCAAGTCCTCGAAAGGCCTGAAGTGAGCCGTTACTCATCAGGTTCTTTTCCACGAAGCCCCTTGATGCAGGCTGACAGCAGTGTGGCTACAGAGGTTTCTTCAAAGGCCAAGTGGTCTGGTGGTGCTCGGAGCTCTCTGCTGACCTGAGGTAGATTCCAGAGGACTGAGAGAAGAATACTACCTATTCTTTAGGCCATCCTCCTTGAATAATATTGTCGTCAACCAAAACTTTCTTGAAAATTATGCAGTACAGAAGTGAGCTGGATCTTGTACTTCCTATATGTACTCAGAGTCCAGTTTCCTAAAATATCTTTTAAATACAAAAAGCTAATCTGGAGATTGGATTGTTATTTTCTTATGGAAGCTCAGGATCATGTTTGGATGCATTTCTGAATACCAGGTACAGGGGTCACCATACCAAGTTGTAAAATGTAGGGTCCACTTCATTGCATTGACAAGGAGACAGTTGAGGCCCTTTAGTTCTCTGCCATAGTGCATGAGCCAGTATAACTTTATTCAGAAAAATACTTAAAACAGATATGAGCAAGCAAGCATCCATAAGAGCAATGTAAAAAATATTGGTAAAGCAGCCAAAAACGTTTGACTTTGAATCATGAAACTTCTTGGTATATATTTCAAGGTAAATGGAGAGAAAATCATGTACTTAGACAAGAGATGAGTTAATTTACTAGGTGGGATTATTGACCATAAACTGGCTAGATGTTGGGGAGCATAAACCAGCAATGATGATTCCTTTTTGGCACTTTATCCAGCTCATCCAGAAACTATATCACAAAATTAAAAGATAGATTTTAAAGTGGATATCATAGCAGAAGCCATACTTACCGTGTTGTACTTTTCTACCTGATACTGAGTCCCTGACTTAAGGGTCTCAAAGGAGAGTTCACAAGCCAGTGCATTATGTGCATCCAGGTAAGTGGGGGGTTATATTGATTGCATGGCCAACTCCTGTCCCTGGAGTCAGAGGGAGATGGTCAGGAACAGCCTGCATTTTTTTCCACTCTCAACAGATTCCTACATACATGTCCCTGCCAAGGTCAAAGCAGATAGAGGTGGTGCATGGTAGACAGGAAGTGTGCCTGTACATCATAAATGTGGCCTGTGGTGCCTGGGCTTACAGTTTATCAGGAGACAGACTGGCATGCATGCATTTGCAGATGGATGACCAGTGAGACAAGATCCCTATTTCCATGGGAGTAATGGACTGTGCTTTCAAAGGATCTTAAAGACCATGCTGCAGTTTGAACCCAAGGGAGCCTTGAGAAGTTGTGCCATTCCTCAAATGGCAGCTGCTTTCCTGCCATCTTCTTGATTTTTACAATCACTGCTTACTACCAATACTCTTATTTTCTCAATATTTTATTTTAAATTTATTTTATTTTATTTATTTACTTATTTTAATGTTTATTTAGTTTTGAGAGAGAGAGAGAGAGAGAGAGGCAGAGAGAAAGGGAGACAGAAAATCAGAAGCAGCCTTCAGGCTCTGAGCTGTCAGCACAGAGCCCTACGCGAGGCTTGAACTCGCGAGCCATGAGATCATGACCTGAGCTGAAGTTGGACTCTTAACCGACTGAGCCACCCAGGCACCCCCAAATTGATGTTAATACATCTCTTTTTTTACTTCTCCTTACTATAAACAGTAAAACACTTTTTAAAAAATATGCATCCTTTATAAAGCCTTCACTACTTTTTTAAACGTTTTATTTATTTTTGAGACAGTATAAGTGGGGGAAGGGCAGAGAGAGGGGAACTGAAGATCTGAAGCAGGCTCTGTGCTGACACCATCAAGCCCAATGTGGGGCTTGAACTCATAAGCCCTGAGATCATGACCTGAGCCGAAGTTGAACACTCGATGAACTGAACCACCCAGGTGCCCCACCTGTCACACTTTGACAATGTTGTAACAGAAATCCACTATGTACTGCCCAATTTGAAAAGATTTTTATTTGAGTCCTCTCTATCTTTTTTGGTGAGTGGGGAGGTGAGACTGACTAAAAGTTAATAAATATTGTTGCTCTTTTCAAGGAACCAGCTCCTGGTTTCTTGATCTGTTCTATTGGTTTTTTAGTCTGTTTCATTTATTTCTGGTTTAGTCTTTATTATTTTCTTCCTTCTACTGGTTTGGAGTTTTGTTTGTTGTTCTTTTTCTAGCTCCTTTAAGTGAAAGGTTAGGTTGTTTATTGAGATTGGTTTTTTTGGTTTTTTGGGGGTTTTTTTGCTTTTTGGGTAGACCTGGAATGCTATAAACTTCTTTCTTAGAATAGCTTTTGCTGCATCCCAAAGATTTTGGACCTATATGTTTTCATTTTCATTCATTTCCATGTCATTTTGATTTTCTCTTTGATTTCTTGGTTCACCCATTCATTGTTTACTAGCATGTTATTTGACCTCCCTGTATTTGTGTTCTTTCTAGATTTTTTTCTTGTGGTTTATTTCTAGTTTCATAGAGTTGTGGTCAGAAAAGATGCATACTATGACTTTGTTGTTTTTTAATTTGTTGAGAGTTGTTTTGTGGCCTAATATGTGATCTATTCTGGAGAATGTTCCATGTGCACTTCAAGAGAATGTGTATTATGTTTTAAGTTGGAATGTTCTGAATATTATCTGTTAGGTCTATCTTGCCCAATGTGTCATTCAAAGCCACTGTTTCCTTGTTGATTCTCTGTTTGAATGATCTGTCTGTCCATTGATGTAAGTGGTATGTTAAAGTCCCCTACTGCAACTGTATTACTATTGATGATTTCTTTTTTGTTTATTATTAGCTGCTGTATGTATTTGGGTGCTTCTATGTTGGGTGCATAAATATTTACAATTGTTATGTTTTCTTTTGGGATTGTGCCCTTAATGACTATATAGTGTGGTCTTTGTCTCTTATTACAGCCTTTGTTTTAAAATTTTTTTTTTAATATTCATTTTTATTTTTGAGAGAGAGAGCATGAGCAGAGAAGAGGCAGAGAGAGAGGGAGACACAGAATTTGAAGCAGGCTCCAGGCTCCAAGCTGTCAGCACAGAGCGTGACACAGGGCTCGAACCCATGAACCATGAAGTCATGACCTGAGCCAAAGTCAGATGATTAACTGACTGAGCCACCCAGGCACCCCTTATAGTCTTTGTTTTAAAGTCTATTTTGTCCAATGTAAGTTTTGCTACCCCAGCTTTCTTTTTACTCCCATTTGTATGATAAATGCTTTTCTGTCCCTTCCCTTTCAATCTGCATGTTGCTTTTAGTTTGAAACAAGTCTTTTATAGGCAGTATATAGATAGGTCTTGTTTTTTATCCATTCCATTTATGTTCAAAGTAATTACTGATACGTATGTACATAATGCATTTTATTGCTTATTTTATGGTGGTTTTAGTAATTCTTCTCTGTTCCTTTCTTCTCTTGTTCTTTTGTCTCAGTTTGTTGGCTTTCTTTACTGATATACTTGGATTCCTTTCTCTTTGTTTTTTGCATATCTATTAGTGGTTTTTTATTTGTGGTTACATAGCATCTTGTGCGTAGAGCATCTTGTGCATTGATTTGTGGTTACATAGCATCTTGTACATAGCATCTTGTGCATAGAGCAATCTATATTAAGTTGGTAGTTACTGAAATTTGAATCCATTATTTACTCCTGTCCTCTCCTCAGGTTTTAGGTGTATTGTTTCATGCTTTATATCCTTTTATTTTGTGAATCTCTTGACTGAATTTTTATAGATATACTTAATTTTACTCCTTTTGTGTTTCCTACTCGTTGCACTACTGCTTATGGTCTTTCCAATCAGTCCCTTTTAACATTTCCTGTAGCACTGGTTTAGTGGTTGTAAGTTCTTTTAACCTTCTCCTTCATTTAAAAAAAATTAATGTTTATTTATTTTTGAGAGAGAGAGAGAGAGAG